GGAGTCTCCTTGGGGTTCAGTAGGTGACATGTGGGAATACCTTTTATTGGGACCAACTGAAGAAAAAGCAAAAAGTAACAAAATAGCCTATGGACTACCACAGCTGGATTTGAACCAGCTTGATATGTATCCCCCTCCCACCCATCAACAGTTGGTGGGAGTGGTCCCAAGAGGCTGGGACTTATTCTTCTCACAAATGGACATCACTCCATTGGTGCCCTTTCTGGGAGTGAAGCACTCTGCCCTGCCACAGCGCACTCCAAGCAGACACAGAATCCTAGAATTGTAGATTCATCTAGTCCAACCCCTGCAATACAGGAATCCTTTGCCCAACATGGTGCTTGAACCCACAACCCCCAGATTAAGTCTCATGCTATGCCAGCTGAACAACCCCTGGATCCTCGACTAGCTAGTGCTCTGAGCAGAAGTCTAACATAGGATGTGGCAAAAGGTAAAGGGACTCCTGACCATTAGGTCCAGTCATGACTGACTCTGGGGTTGCAGCACTCATCTCACTTTATCGGCCGAGGGAACCAGTGTACAGCTTCCCGGTCATGTGGCCAACATGACTAAGCCGCTTCTGGCGAACCAGAGCAGCGCACGGAAACACCATTTACCTTCCCGCCAGAGCTATTTATCTACTTGCACTTTGACGTGCTTTTGAACTGCTAGGTTGGCAGGAGCAGGGACCGAGCAACAGGAGCTCACCCCGTCACAGGGATTCGAACCGCTGACCTTCTGATCGGCAAGCCCAAGAGGCTCAGTGGTTTAACCCACAATGCCACCCGCGTCCCTTATAAGGAGGGGGGTAGATGGGGTTATTCTCCCTGCAAAGTCAGATAATGGTATTCTCTTCCCATGGGGGTTCATTTATGGGTCTCTCTAAACGCAGAGAGCGGTGAGGCTCAAGGATTCCTGGTTTTCATACATCTGCAAGGGGAGGGGACCTTTTTCCTATTGAAATTCCATATTGAATTAATGTTCAGTGTATACACCAAGGAATTCATTTAGACACTCCCATTCCTTTTTCACTTCACTTTTTTGTTTTTGTCTTATTATATCTGTCAATTTGGCTAATTCTAAATATTCTGATATATATATAAGCCGCACTTTAACTTTTCAGTGTCAGAATTGGGCGGGGGGGGGGAGTGTGGCTTATATTCGGACCAATACGGTACAGTGGTGCCCCGCAAGACGAATGCCTCGCAAGACGGAAAACCCGCAAGACGAAAGGGTTTTCCGTTTTGGAGGTGCTTCGCAAAACGAATTTCCTATGTGCTTGCTTCGCAAGACGAAAATGTCTTGCGAGTTCCTGCGGGGTTTTTTCCTCCCCCCTTTTCCCAAGCCGCTAAACCGCTTATCAGCTGATCGGCTAAGCCGCTTAACAGCTGATCGCTAAGCCGCTTATCAGCTGATCCGCTAAGCCCGCTAAGCCACTAATACTGTAGCGCTAATCCGCTAAACCGCTAATGGGCTTGCTTTGCAAGATGAAAAAACCCGCAAGACGAAGAGACTCGCGGAACGGATTCTTTTCGTCTTGCGAGGCACCACTGTACTTTAAATTGCTACCTTGGGGGCTCCTCTCAGGTCAAATCCAGCAAAACTGGAACAAAGCAAATGACACTTGAAGACAGACCCAGCTTAAGACTTCCTACTCTTATCCTTGATATTTCATCCCCCTCAGCTGCAGACTGAGATATTGCACACATACCAGAGGTACGCCGCAACATTTTGTTGTGGACCCCACTTGCGGTCGCCTGTATTGCCCTCTGTTGATGGATGCCTTGTTCTTCCCTCCGTTGAGATCCAGACATGGCTTAATCAAAGCAGAAAGGCAGTCGGTCTAATTGAGACCTGTAAAAGAAGTAGAGGCAATCAATTGTCCAAAGACAACAAATGATTATTGAAGAATTAAACAATTCATTCACTAATGTTCCTTACACAATGTGTCAGCAGAGAGTAAACCCTAAGGCACAACAGTGCGTGCCTCCTGCTGCCCCACTGACCTGCATAAAGGCCTGCAGACTTAATAACTGAAAAGTGTATGTTTCACTGTCTTCCTTTTCCCACCTCTCACCTGCCCTAACTAAACCCTCTTCCCTCTTAAATGCTTTGGAATTCTGATGTTGAATGCAGCACCTCACCAACACAGAGGACACACTTTGGTTTTTCAGAAACAGCTTGCAAAAGCTACGCAGAACTGCAGTCAGAATTTGCCTGACGTGCAGCATTTTGGTTTTCTTCACGGCAAAATCACCCCCACGCCTTGGTAAAAGGATGGCAACCACGGGGAACAGGAAATCTCCAATTCCCTCCGAAGAAATGCACACCTGTATCATGACCACCAGGAAGCAGCTGGTGTGTGGTAGCCATAAACACTTCCCAGCTGGCTTTCAAAGCTTTCCTGGAATTATTACATCCACGATAGTCCTCCCTCCTTTTGCGGTGGGGGTGCTGTTTCTTCTGACTTTCAGCAAAGAATCAAGAAGCGGAAAGGGAACTATCCATCTTAAATGCTGGGGGAGAGGTAAATTGGCGCATTTTGTGATCACCAGCTGAAGCGCAGCCCAAGGTTATTCAAGTTCATTATGATAAGAATAGGGGAGATGCAAGTGTAAAGTGTGTGTGACTCATGACAGCAGATGGCTCTTGGGCTGCGCTGAATGCCATTTTAGAGAACTCCCTGGATAAAGAGACCCTGAGCTCTGCTATCCAAAACACATACCCCCAATCTGGAAAGATCTGTATTTAACAGCAAGGGAAGAGCTCTTGTTCCCCACGGTAAAAGGCAAGAGGACACTTCGTAATAACATGGAAGAGTGAGAGCCAGGATAATAAATAGTTATCCTTACAATCTGTAGTTTAACACTGAGATGTCAGCAGCAGCTGATGCTCAGTCTTGCTTTCAGCCCCATCCAGGTGGTGCTGAGCTGGAAGGAGGGAGAAAAGGAAAAGGAGTGATGTCACCACCCGAGTCAGCAGAGCAAACTGAGGACACAGCACACTAATTATTTTACTCCGAGTTGGGCTCTGCGGGGAGGATACCCTCAAAAAGAGGGGCTTGGAGCCGGGAGAAGTATTTTTAGAAGCTTAGGAATGGTGTTGTTAAAATAATTAAAATGGTATACTTTAAATTATATTGAAGAATCCGTAGCTTAGTGGTCCAGCACATGGTCTGGTCCCATGCAGAAGACCATTATCTGAGATAGTATAAGGCAGCTTCCTGTGTTCCTTGGTGTTTGTGGTTATAAAAATAACCGCTACGCAAATCTGGAGTAGAGCGGAATCCCGAAGACAGATGCATGTCCTGTACGCCTCTTTCCAGCAACTCCTGCAGCCAAGCTGGTGCCAAACGTCTTGCTGGGCTTTCCTTTGGACCACATCAATGCGGCTGAGAGAGAAGGCCTTCAGACTCGCTGCCTGGGCTTGCACCCTGGAGAAGTCACTTTGCTGCTGTTAATGCAGCAAAACCAACACGGGAGGCAACAGTTTTGAGTTAACGGTCTCTGCAGGTGCTGTGACTCCCCAGTGGTTTCACTTCACCCCCGAAGTGCACTCCATTGCCTCTCAAGACTGCCGGATACCATCAAAATAAAAAGGAAGATTAAATAAGGTTGGCACAAGTAAGCAATAGCTCAGCCGTGGGTACGGAGCTGCCTGCAGCACCAGCAGGAACTGGGACACTGACTTGAGGAGAGAGCTATGCTATGTGCCTACTTGAGCTAATTTGGTTGCAGAAATAACTGCAGCAAGGAAGCAGGATAAACTTGCGGCTGACGGGTGGTTTGTTGGCTGATGGCATCTTGCGGACACTTCATATGTGCTAACGAAGTGCAGTTCAGAGTCAATTAGCTAACCTACTGCCAGCATCTGAAGTTTAGGTACAAGGAAACTGTGTAGGTGTGCTTTCTGCTAGAGATGTACTGAACTAGTCTTGGTTCCCTGTGGAGGGACCAATATGGTGACAGCTGTTGTAGCAACAATGGTGGTGGTGGGGAAATAGATGTGGGGTATTGCATCACCATTGCAACTGGATGCCATGCACAACTAGAGCATCTTAGACTTGCCAGGTGTGTAGGATCTTCAGACTTAAATTACCCTGTCCCACAGGTGCTAGGGAAGTTATATGCCCTGAGTTAGTTTTTAGCCTGGAGTAAATGCTGCCCCACGCATTCTAAACTCACAAATCATACGACAAATAAACTGCCCAAGATGTCAAAAAATGTGTCAAGTAAGCAGATAGCTGGGTCATTCTTCCATATGTGGTGGCCATGTAAAAAAGCTAAAGGCTTTTGGGAAATGATATGTAATGAAATGAAATGAAAATATTTAAATGGGCTGCTTCCAAAAGACCAGAAGCTTTCATTACAGTCATAACTTGGGTTGAAGTAGCTTCAGAATGAATATTTTTGGGTTGTGCTCCATGGCGACCCAGAAGTAACAGAGCACGTTACTTCCAGGTTTCGCTGCTTGCACATGCGCAGATGCTCAAAATGACGTCATGCGCGGAAGCGGTGAAACGCGATCTGCGCACGTGCAGACGTGCAGTCGCGTCTTACGTTTACTTCAGGATGTGAATGGGGCTCCAGAACAGATCCCGTTCATATCCAGAGGTACCACTGTATATCCATAATAGGGACAGAAGGCTCCAAAGAAGATGACCAAACTAGTTCTGTATGTGACAACAGCAACTAGAATATTATATGCCCAGAAATGGAAAGAAGAGAAGATTCCAACGAAGGAAGAGTGGCTTTTGAAAGTAATGGACTATGCAGAAATGGCAAAACTGACAGTGAAATTAGGAGATCAAAATGATGAACATTTTATAGAAGCACAAAGGCCTTTCATGGAATATTTATAAAAAATTGTCCTCAAATGAAAGCGTGGGCAGGATTCGGATAAAAGCAGTGGAAGAAAAATGATAGAATGATTGTAATAGAGAAACTTTTTGTAATAGATAATGGTGCAATGCAGAACAACAACAGCAACAACTTTTTTTTAATTTATCTACCCCACCCATCTGGCTGGGCTGCCCCAGCCACTCTAGGTGGATTCCAACACAAATAAAAACATAATGAAACATCAAACATTAATAGTAACAATCTGATCGAATATAAAAAGTCACAGTAACTTTAAAATAAACAACTTATATCAAACAAAAGAACTTTCAGCAATCCATCATAAACAGTAAAATTAAACATCAGCAAACGATAATTTAAACAGTTTACACTCATCAACCACAAGAAAGAATTACTAATCTATAATCAATAAAAATTGCAGCAAATTTCAATGCATAAAATAGCACAAAACATACAAAACCATAAAAAAGGATCAAATTGAGAAACAAGCACACAACTTATAAAACTTTTTTTTTTTTTTAAATATCCCTGAACTCCTTTCTTCCCAGCTGCTGCTGCTGCTGCTGTTCTTAATGTCATGGTCTGGGAAAGGCTCCCAGGGCAAGGCAGGTGGAAGCACTATTGCCTGATGAAGAACAGAAAGTCTCTCTCCCCTCACAATGCAGTAGTCCAAGCGGGAGACAGTCAGAAACAAATCAGCAGTTTGTCTTTAAGGTCCATAAGAATGAGTCTCAAAAAATCTACGGGCCTCCCAAAGCAAGACAGATGGGCTTCCTTGGGTAAGTAGTTCCAAAGTTATGATGCTACTGCAAAGAAAAGACTTTGCTGACTTCATTGTACTAGGCTTTGTTGTATATCTGTAAGGAATTTACAGTATATTTATTGTGAATAATTTCCTCCCAATGAATGGCTGGTCTGCTCCCCTACTCACATTTATAAAGCCTCCACAGAACTTTCTCAAGTGCTATGACTGCACAAGACCTTGTCTAGTGAAAGGGGCGGTTGTTGATTTTTCAAAAAAACAAAAACATAGCATTTCTCCCTCCAGATGTGAATCACTGAATCCTTTTATTATCTCTGTGTCCTCAAGATTCCTTTGATGTCCTGGAAACTCACAGGGCCATTTGGGATTTTGTTAAAAAATGTACACATTTCTGTACTTTGGTTAATCTAGCCCTTGAGCCCGTGAAGAAGCCATTATCTTCTTATTTGAACAGCCCCATTTTAATTTAAAATGGATAGGTATTTGTCCACACAAGTTCACTATTAGAGGGAACGATGGAGGCTAATGGAGACCCACACTCATCTATGAGCGTACGCTTGCTAAACATAAATGCTGTGGTAAAAGTGTCTTGAAATTAGGTGTGAGTAAATATAAAGACATTATATAATTATATAAATATAAAGAAATATAAAGACAAGGCTATTGCTTGCGAAAAATTGGAAAAGTGGTGTTATACCGACAAAAACAGAGTGGCTTGCCAAATTATTGGAGTACTACAATATATCCAAAACAATGGGAGAAATTGGAAGGATCTCAAAAGAGAAGATAGACAGGGACTGGAAGGTTCTTTAAAGGATACTTGCAAAACCATATTGAAAAATCAGAACTCGTATTAGAATAAACAAGTTCCGTTTTAAATACTGAAATACTAAATAAGATGGATAACAATGTGTAATAGAAAAAGGAACATGAAATTAGGTTAAAGGTGTGTGAAAGAAAGTACCGGTAATAGAAGTGGAAAGAAATTGCAATTGAGTTGATTGGAAGTCTAACACAAAGGTGGGGTGAGGGGTGGTGGATGGTGATGGGAAAAGGAATTATCTGTGGGACTGAGTGTAGGTATGTTTGAAGATTTTTAAGGATTGTATGAAATGTATGTTTGTATGCTTGTATAATCGCAATATGTGTGTATTAAAAATAAAATTAAAAAAATAAAATTAAAATAAAGAAATTAGGTGTGGTTTTTTTTGTGTATATATATATATATATAGAGAGAGAGAGAGAGAGAGAGAGTGCGCCAAGAGATGAAACTCTAAAAATGGTAGTAAGAAAAACAAATCCCGAGTACCCAAGGCTAATGGACTTGTCAATGGTTTTACATTGAACTCTAAAACCGACCAAGTGGCTCTGTCTTTAGATTCAAAGTGACAATGTGAGAGAGTAAGTCGGGCCAGCGACTGCCATATTGTTCGAAGTTCATTCCTGGCGAAGACGGACAAAATCAGATGAATGATGGTGCCTTGATGTCCAGCAATGCAGGGTGCAGGAGGTCTAAAAATTCTGAAGGATGCAAAGCCAGTAGAGCACCAAAAATACACACATAGTTTCAAGGGTGGAAACTATCTTGCTTCTGGTCAGAAGCCAAGTGTTTTATATATTTATTTTCACTTGTGCCGTCAGAAGAATCGATAAATGTGATGGGGTTGCTGTTGAAGCGTGCATATTTTGTGACTTCCCAAATGAACTGAATCAGGGGCAGTAAGAGAGACATCACCTCCTTTGTCAGTGGGGCCTCGCGACTGTGGGTGTCTGGGGCCGTGGGCGCCAAACAGTGGGCATGGCCCTGGCACTGAAATTTGTGGGTGCACATGGGGAATTTTGTGGGTGCTCGGGCACCCAGGTCCCCAGTGTGCTGAAGGCATAAATCAATTTGTTGTACCATCATTTGTTATCCTTAGAAGTGGTTCTGCTGCCTTGCTTGGAGGAAGTACAGAAGATCAGAAGTAGAACATTGCCACTGTGGTTAGTAGCCATTTGATTATCCTCCATTTGATTAATTAGTCATTGTCAGGGACCTTGAATCTTGCACCCTGCCTTCAAAGGTGCCAATGTGTGAGTGACCTTATAAATAGTATTAACTTTCTGTTGTTGTTTAGTCGTTTAGTCGTCCCGGACCCGTTCTGGGGGCTGGGGTCGGGGGAAGCCCGAGCTTCCCCCGACTCCAGCCCCGCAAGCTCCGGGAGCGATGGCAAGGTTGCGCAACCTCACCTTCGCTCCCGGACCCCCAGCCCCGAGGCTAAAAACGAAGCCAGGACAGCTAGCGGGATCCATCCCGCTCGCTGTCATAGCTTCTTTGCTCTTTGGGGCTCGGGGGGGAAAATAAATTTTTTCCCTTTATTTCCCCTTTCCCCCCCTAAAAAAAGTGTGCCCTATGAGCTGGTGCGCCCTATAGGGCGAAAAATACGGTACTTGTCTCTTGTGTGTAGATGCTGCTGTTTTGGCTGCATAAAAAACTTGAACAAACCTCTTTTCTAGCTATAGATGAAATTTAAAAACGATGAGCTGAGTTTTATGTTCCTTGATGTGAGGTGCTGAGACATGTAGCTCATTGATTGCACCCACCCTCCCAATGAGAGGGAAAGTAATTTTCTTTATACAGTACAGTGGTACCTCGGGTTAAGTACTTAATTCATTCTGGAGGTCCGTTCTTAACCTGAAACTGTTCTTAACCTGAGGTACCACTTTAGCTAATGGGGCCTCCCGCTGCCGCCGCGCTGCCGGAGCACGATTTCTGTTCTCATCCTGAAGCAAAGTTCTTAACCTGAAGCACTATTTCTGGGTTAGTGGAGTCTGTAACTTGAAGCGTATGTAACCCGAGGTACCACTGTATATGTATCTGAAACATTATCTGCACTCTACACTGGCAGGATGCAGCCAATTCCCTGACTGTACTGCAGACCCTCAGCCACAATTCAAGCCCTGCTCTTTTGAACTGCAAAACTAGTAATTTTAATTTTCAGAGGTAATTTTAATCCGTTTTGGGATTTTAACTTTTGCATGGTTTTTAAAGCATGGTTTTGATTCTTCTTCTTCTTCTTCTTCTTCTTCTTCTTCTTCTTGATTTTACAGTTTTCTCTTCTGTAAGCTGCTTTGAGGGTTGTTGTTTTTTACAATCAAGTGGTGTATAAATTTTGCGAAATAAATAAATAAATGCAACTATTATTTGACATGCACACTGCGCTGCAATTCATACCCGCAGTGCTGTTTTACTGCAAATGTTAGCAGGTTGCCAGACATCTTCCCCACCTTTTAATTTAGCCGGTTGTGGAGGAGTGACAGTTGTGAGACTGCCTTGCAAGACTATTTTGTTGCAGCTAACTCCCCCTGCCCAAAGGAAAACACACAAAGCGAATCACAAACCTCTGAATGCATCTCTTGAGACATCTGGTCTGCCGTTTAAAGTGCCACATGATCAGCATTCTTCTTTTAGTCAATGTTGTAATTTGTGTCTTGTCTGCTATTCTCTATTCGTGGTTGCTCCTTATGCTGACTACAAAATAGCTGCCTGTGAAAATAAGTCAGGACTGTTCTATAATCTGCTCTTTGCTATGCAGTTCACATCGCAAGGCGCATGTTCTGCATGCATATCGTCTGCCCCTTTCTCCTTTGCTACGGCATTCCTGCTCTCAGTAATGTGGAATTTATTCTGGTTTTGTTCATGCTCAGAGCAACCAACGAACAAAACCCTTTCCCTTTTTTCCCCCATTGGTAGTCTTGAAAATTACAAAGAGGATGGGGAGAAAACAATTGCAACATTTAAAAAGTCACAGATTATATACCCTTTTTCAGACCGCCACTGAATAGGGTTCAAGTGCCTGTGTTTATGGTTTGCCACCTATGAGATCAACCTACTCTTTAAGTGCGCAATGACAAAGGCTAATTGGAATCTTTCTGTTAAACATAGGAGCCAACTCCTATGGGGCTGTGGGGGCTTCGACCCCCACAATAAAATATTTGAGTTGATAGGCACTGCCATTCAAATGGTTTGTGTGCACTGCGTCATGTGATTGATTGTGCTGGGCGGAGCTTATCTGGACCCCCACAATATTTTATTCAAGTTGGCACCCCTGCTGAAAACATATACAGTGGTACCTCGGGTTACATACGCTTCAGGTTCCATACGCTTCAGGTTACAGACTCCGCTAACCCAGAAATAGTGCTTCAGGTTAAGAACTTTGCTTCAGGATGAAAACAGAAATCATGCTCCGGCAACGCGGCAGCAGCAGGAGGCCCCATTAGCTAAAGTGGTGCTTCAGGTTAAGAACAGTTTCAGGTTAAGTACGGACCTCCGGAACGAATTAAGTACTTAACCTGAGGTACCACTGTAACACAGATTTGGGGCTGGGGGCTTAATAAGGGTTTTTTTTGTGTGTTGCTCTATTTTTTTGTACACTCATTTTTGAGGCTGCTCTATCACATGTCCTGCTACTCTTGATTGTGTTGTTTATGTTTTTCTCCTTTCAATGCTTAATTGCTTTTTACATGATTGTGGGTTTTTCTATGTTTTTAGCGGTTCTCATTTTTATATGCAAACTGCCTTAAGCGGGGTGGGGTATTCATGTATGTATGTATGTATGTATGAATGAATGAATGAATGAAACATAGCTACCCCTCTGGAATCTGGGTTATTTTCATTTTTAAACCATATTTCTTTCCTTCCGTTATTACAAACAGCTTAGGGCAATGTATTTGGGGTTACTTCATTTTATCCTTACAACATCACTCCCCCACAATGCTGTGAGGCAGGCTAAGCTGACAAATTGTGAATTGTCCAGCAAGATTTGAACTTGATCCTGTCCAGCTCGACAACCTGTCTGTCCATTGTGGTGCACTAGTTCTGAAGTCATCTCAGCTGCACAGCAATAAAGAACTATATTTATAGGAATGAACTGTGCACAGGGTGAAGAGGATGGAAATTGTCTAGAAAACCCACTGCACTGTGTGCAATGATACTGTTTTGCAATCTGTCCCTAATTACAACAAAAGTAAAATCAATCCCTCTTCCAGTTCCCTGTTTGCTTTCTTTTAATCTGAAAAAGTTCTTTGGATCTAACCTAATTGTCTGCCAGGGCTCTGTTAACATGTACGAAACCTGTAACAAATTTGCAGTGCCAACCCCTGGACAGATGCAGAAAGACAACCTAAAACTTAACCATGCCATCTGACTAAATGGTCCATTTCGCAATGAGAAAAGCATTTTTAACACCTGATTAAAACACACACACACACACACACACACACACACACACACACGTGCACACACAAAACTGGAGTTTATACCAGTCACTGGATTCTCCAACAATAAAAGCTTCATTCTGCTGTTATGTACTGAAGTTCTCACCCTGGGCCAGCAGGGAGATACTGTAGATAGTTTTCACTCAGGTCCACATATGCAAATAAGGGATTGAAAGTGACATTCAGTGACTGGATAGTTACAGAAAATGGTTACTATTGCGTTCTAGTGGAGCTCTATATAAGCAGGCTGGCTGAACCCTTCAGTTCAGTTCTGTTCTGGCCTGTGAATAAACAAGAGCTGTTTGAAGAATCGCTGTGTTGTCTGATATGTTCACCCACAACTTAACATCTGCAACTCTGCAAATCATGCAAAAAAAGCCGATTTCTATTTATCTGGATATATTTCCCATAATTCCCAGGGAAGGAGCACTGCACTGTGCCAAGCATGTCCACACTAGTCGCCTGCCCACTTTAAAGCCAATCTTTGCAGTCCTTACGGACAGTAACTTTCATTTTAAAAAACTGGAGTTTTTCTGGCCTTGGATATAGTCCAGGTTAAGATTTTTGCAGAAGCAAGTGTTGCTGGCAATTTCTTTGAGGCCTCTGGTTTTCTAATATTTGCAAAAATTGTAAAGCAAAAAAGAGCGGAATAGAAGGGACTGATGTTCAGTCCAGTCCAGCATCAGTCGCATTCCATTGCACCATTTACAAGTTATGGGCCTGCTAGGAGCCGTAGTCCCAAACATCTGCAGGCCGCAACGCTGGAAAAGGGTGCATATGGCGTTCATGGCTGAAGCGAGAGCTTTGTAGCTCAACCCACGTGCTTCCATTGCACTGCATCAGATCTCAAAGGGCTTAAGTTTCAATCCCATCTTTCTTTTGAAAACTTTGAAATGCTTCTTAAGCCCCTGGTAAATGATGCTTAACTTAGACTCACATGTTCTGAAAACAGCCTATTTATATCCAAAACAATGAACGCACTGGTTTAGAAAGGCACTCTAAATATATAGAACATGAAGCTTAGCATGCTTTGGAGACACTTTTAGACCAAGTCTCGCCTGCTCAAGTTTTTGTTTTTTTTAAATATATGTATATATTATTATTATTATGCCTTTCTAAAACAAGTTAATGTAACAAGAACTCATATAGGCCCAGGAGGATCTGGCCTTCTTGGCCTGCCTTGTCATCCGAAGTGCTTCCTTTCCTGAGGCGGCTGCTCTTTCTTTGTCCTGCCCCATTCCCTTACTTCCCCCTCAGTCCCCTCTGCTCCCCTGGGGGCTGCCTGGGATGGACTAGCCAGGAATCCCGCACTTCTGCCCCAGAACCATCGATAAAGGCTTCCTCCCTCTGCTTCCAGTCAGGGGGAGGATGTAAGCCCCTCATGGTAATCTGAAACAATACCGCTATTCATTGTTTTGTAGTTCTGGGAAATATCCTTAAGTTCAGCTCGCGAAATTAGCTGCCGCTTGAGTAAGCCACAGCTGCTGTGGAGCTGTCCCACTACGCTGCCCCCAAAACGCGGCAATTCTCATTACAGCAGATTAGTCTTTCAACATATGGGCCTTCTGTTATGTTTGTGGGGCCCGTTGCTATGAATGCAAGTGTATATACACAGAAAAATTCTTCTTCTTCTGCAGATCATACCTCTGGAAGAGGAAGTTAAAGGCAGTGATTGCACTTGCTCACATGGGAGCCTGCAAAAACTGATTTGGAAATATACCTTTTCTTGTCTTTTGTTTTAAAAGTGGGCATGTTCCGGGGGGGGGGGGGGCAATCTTCCCATGGTTTATGCACATGGATAAAGTGACCTCTCACAGTCATCATCGGCTGGGCTCGGTCGGTAGAGCATGAGGTTCGTAATCTCAGGGGCATGGGTCCTGAGCCCCACGCTGTGCAAAAAGATTCCTACATTGCAGGGGGTTGGACTCGATGACCCTACAATTCTATGATTCTATGACCCCAAGAAAGGGACGCAGGTGGCGCTGTGGGCTAAACCACAGAGCCTAGGACTTGCCGATCAGAAGGTCAGTGGTTTGAATCCCCGCAACAGGGTGAGCTCCCATTGTTCGGTCCCAGCTCCTGCCAACCCAGCAGTTCGAAAGCACGTCAAAGTGCAAGTAGATAAATGGGTACCGCTCCAGTGGGAAGGTAAACGGCATTTCCGTGCACTGCTCTGGTTTCGCCAGAAGTGGCTTAGTCATGCTGGCCACATGACCCGGAAAAACTGTCTGCGGGCAAACGCCGTCTCCCTTGGCCAGTAAAGCGAGATGAGCGCCGCAACCCGAGTCATCTGCGACTGGATTTAACTGTTGGGGGTCTTTTGTTGTTGTTGTTTAGTCGTTTAGTCATGTCCGACTCTTCGTGACCCCATGGACCAAAGCACACCTGGTACTCCTGTCTTCCACTGCCTCCCACAGTTTAGTCAAACTCATGTTGTTAGCTTTGAGAACACTATCCAACCATCTCGTCCTCTGTCATCCCCTTCTCCTTGTGCCCTCCACCTTTCCCAACATCAGGGTCTTTTCCAGGGAGTCTTCTTCTCATGAGGTGGCCAAAGTATTGGAGCCTCAGCTTCACGATCTGTCCTTCCAGTGTGTACTCAGGGCTAATTTCCTTCAGAATGGATAGGTTTGATCTTCTTGCAGTCCATGGGACTCTCAAGAGTCTCCTCCAGCACCATAATTCAAAAGCATCAATTCTTTGGCGATCAGCCTTCTTTATGGTCCAGCTCTCACTTCCATACATCACTACTGGGAAAACCATAGCTTTAACTATACGGACCTTTGTTGGCAAGGTGATGTCTCTGCTTTTCAAGATGCTGTCTAGGTTTGTCATTGCTTTTCTCCCAAGAAGCAGGCGTCTTTTAATTTCGTGACTGCTGTCACGATCTGCAGTGATCATGAAGCCCAAGAAAGTAAAATCTCTCTTACCTTTTATGACCCCAAGAAACATTATTCCCAGTGTTCTGTTTACCCACGTACTTTGTTCTCGGGATTTGGAAGGCAAGGCTACCTCAAGAAGGCTCAAGGTTACCAGGGCAGTGCTGATTTTCTCCTCTTCACCTTTCCCCTCAGTTGCCTGGCAGGCATTCAGCATAGAGGAAGAACTGTGTAGCTTAGTGGTAGAGCAACTGCTTTGCATTCAAAAGACCGAATCTGTTGCATCTCCAGGTAGGATGGGGAGAGAAGCCTGCATAAAGGCCTGAAGAGCAACTGCCAGTCAGAATAGGCAAAGCTGAGCCAGATGTTCTAGGGCACTGTCCTATGTTCTAGCTGCTGGTGCTTCCTCGTGGCACGCTGAGGAGAGGAACCAACACCTTGCCTTTTAGGGGTGCTTCAACTCCTTCCCTCATGAGCACGCATTTCCTGGCTCTGGGTGAGCAGAAATCAAAGCTTCAGTGGAAGCTTTGATATATTTAAAAAGAGCCAGTGTGATTAGTGTGTTGGATTGTGGGGGCGATGAAAGTTCAAATCCCCACATGGCTATGAACCTTAGGCCTGACATTGTCTCTCAGCATTACTTACCTCACCAGGCAGTAGCAAGGATAAAAGGGGAAAAGGCTGTGGTCATGAGCTCCTTGGAAGAAAGGCATGATAAACAACCCACATTTTAAGTCTCAATATTTCTAATGTTGTCCCTATGGTGTCTGTTGTCTATGCTCTGGTAACCTCTAGGTTAGATTACTGCAATGCATTACATGCAGGGCTGCCTCTGAAGATGGTTCAGAAACTTCAGCTGGTGCAGAATTTGGCAGTCAGGTTGCTCACCGGGGCAAGAAAGGTTTGAGCATATTACACTGATCCTGGCCTGATTGCACTGGCTGCCAGTTAGCTCCTAGGCCCGAATCAAAGTACTGGTTTTGACCTATAAAGCTTTAAACAGCTCAGGACTGCAAACCTTAAGGGCCACAAACTCCATATGAACCCACCCGGATGCGGAGATCTTCCTCTGAGACCCTTTTTCATGTGCTCCACAAGAGGTCCGGAGGGTGGCAACATGAGAATGTGCCTTTTCTTCAATGGCTTCCCATTTGCATAATGTTCTTCCCAAGGAGGAGCGGCTGGTGCCTTCATTATACATCTTTAGGCGCCAGGCGAAAATGTTCATCTTCAACCAGGCTTTGGGCTGATTAACATCCCTTCCCCTTTTAAATGTGTTTGTGGAAGGGAGTTTAGTTTTGTTCTTGTTTCTAATTGTATTTTTTATCTTGCATTTTTATGTTGTGAACCACTCTGAGATGTGCAGCTGAAGGGTGATATACAAATTTCATCAGTAAATAAATATTCATCCTTTACCACTAATGGGAACCTGTTGCCCTCAAGATGTTGTTGGACTACAGCTCCCATCATCCTTTGCCCAAGGCCAGGCTGGTTAGGCCAGATGGAAACTGGAGTTCAACATCTGGAGGGCCACATGTTCTCCACCCGTTTTAGGTCGTTGATGAACTGCATATGGTGGGCAGAAAAATTGCAGTTTAGAAGAGGGGTTAGCTCAAATTTGAGAGAAAAGGAAATAGGAACACTTTTCTGTTATACATAGCATCAGGTTTTAGCCATTATTAACATGTAGTGACTATTGGTTCATAAGCTCTGCTAGCTTTAGTTCTTCAGTAATTATTTGTAAGTTTGTTAATAACAACTGTCTTGTGTTTTGAAGTAGACAGAATCATCATCTGTTATCTTCCACAGGGGCGTAGCTATCTCCTTCGGTACCCGGTACGGCGGGGGTGGGGCGACCCCCCTACGAGGCCGCCGCCCTGATCGTGTGAGGGCCGCTGCCACGATCCTCCTTTGCAGCGTTGCCACGTGGGGGCTGCAACCACCTTGCTCTGCCTCTGATCCCCCCCACTGTTTCCAATGTTCTGGCCATTGCTAAAGTAGTGAAAATTGCATTGCTTCTAGAATGAAAATGCCTCCATCCGTGTAGGAGCCTCAATGTTTGCAGAAGTACAAGGAGTCTTTGAGAAGGGCAGGATCCTGGGTTGTAGAGGAAGACCAGAAGCAGCTCAGTGAGCTGTCCCAGTAGCTACAAACTTCTGTTTGACTGTTGGGAGGGAGAATGGAATGCATTGGCTCGAATCCTGAACAGAAGGAGCACTTATCCTATATAAGTCCAGCGCCGAGGGCTTTCTGGCGGTTCCCTCGCTGCGAGAAACCAAGTTACAGGGAACCAGGCAGAGGGCCTTCTCGGTGGTGGCACCCACCCTGTGGAGCGCCCTCCCACCAGATGTCAAAGAGAAGAACAACTACCAGACTTTTAGAAGACATCTGAAGGCAGACCTGCTTAGGGAAGCTTTTAATGTTTAACAGACTATTGTATTTTAATACTTTGTTGGAAGCTACCCGGAGTGGCTGGGGAAACCCAGCCAGATGGGTGGAGTATTAATAATAATAATAATAATAATAATAATAATAATAATAATAAAAGTTCCAGCAGGCACCTCTGTGAAAATAAGCTAGTCAGTTAGCGGGACACAAAGACATGGTTTGAACATGTTCAGTTCCTTTTTTCTTTTTGCAGTGTGACACCAGTCCAAGCTATTAGAGGTGAAATGGCTTCCTCTGCTTTCCCCCATAAATCAGTTTGACTGTTTTTGGCAAGCTCTGCTCCTCTGCCTGGTGGGCAGCTGGGATTCTAGTGGGGATCCCCTTAGCTTCTCCCCCCTCTCTGCTGTCCCGGCTGGATTGTCCTGTCTTGTGCAGATGGGATTTTTTCCTTCCCTGTCTGCCTCACAGATAATTACTTTACCAGACAAGAGTCTACAGTCTGAAGAAAACAGGCCATCCATATTCTCAAAAGCAACAGTGCTAGAATGAGCGGGAAAGCAATTTCCTTCAAAACACTCTTCCCCAGCGCTAGTAACAGAAAATGCAGATTCTTAAGAGACTGCAGCCCAGTCCTCCCTGTTCCGAAAAATAAAAGAACCTCCACCTGTCATTTTTACACAAGCAACACTTCTTTTGGATTTAGCCCATCTCCAGGGAGTCTGAATTTCAATCTCTAAGAGGCCATGAAACTTAGATGCCACCATGTGGGGAAGAAGTGACTGCCACATGGGAAATGACAGGTAACAGCACCTTGCAAAACCCGCTGACTTACAGGGTTCTGATCTTTGTTCCAAAGGAGGGGAAGGGGAAAAGGGAAAAGGGAAAAGGGGAAAGGGGAAAAGGGAAAGGGGAAAGGACAGGACAGGACAGAACTGTCCTCCAACCAGACATGTTGTGGTGATTCTTATATTGTGCACTACAGTGGTACCTTGGGTTACATACGCTTCAGGTTACAGACTCCGCTAACCCAGAAATAGTGCTTCAGGTTAAGAACAGTTTCAGGTTAAGTACGGACCTCTGGAATGAATTAAGTACTTAACCCGAGGTACCACTGTACAGCAGAATGGAGGTGGAGTGGAGGGATCTTCGCAGAATTCTAAATACATGTTGCCTAAAATTTAAAAGAGGGATGGGGGACATTCCTTTGGTATAGTAGGCTACATTCAGCCTCCGAATGCTATGCACACACACACGCATGCACACTCACACACCCATCTCCATCCAAGCAGGCAAGGGGCATTATCACAGGTCAAGAACCTGCAAAAACTCTTGAGGAGCAGAGCCGAAGAAAGATGTGGCCTAGGGAGTGGGCAGGGCTCTCTGGTCCCAAGGGCCGGAGCAAGAGACCAGCTGAGCTGCATCCCCCACTAGTTATCCCAGTGCCTTGAACTGGAACACTGGAAGGCAGACACAACAGGTTTACTTCCAAGTGGCTACTTCAGGCAATTACATTATATGAAATATGGTGCGACACAAGCGCTTTATTTTTTTAAAAAATGAAAACCAAGGAGAAGCCCCCTGCTCTACCCTCCCCCCTCACCATGATGGGCAGAGGAATCCCCTCCCCAC